AAGAGAATTCCTTCTGTTCCTCACACTGGGGTACCAGCTGTGTGCTGCGGGACCGGAGACCAAGGAGGTGAGCCCTGCTAAGACCCTGCTGCACAGTCACCAGGTGCTTCCTCAGTGCACATGCGGCTTTTCAAGATTTGATTGCTGAACCCTTCCCCCACCCCACTGGGCTAACAAGTGTGAGGACAGCAGCAATCCCCAAACAGGTTTGCTCTCACACTTCGCCTGGAGCTGGTATCTAATCCTAGACTGTTGTTGTTCTTGTTTCCTATCTTGAATCAGAATTCACATAAAGCTTTCCCTCCTGCTAGAGAAGGTCAGCCAGAGCCTCTAGTGCAGAGGTTCTCAACTTGTGGGTCATGACCCCTTTGGGGGTCGAACAGCCCTTTCACAGGGGTCACCTAAGACCATCGGAAAACATATTTCTCATGGTCTTAGGAACCGAGACAGCGCTCCTCTGTCTCCAGGCAGGTCCATCCACATGCAGATGTGCCCACCTATGAGCACCCGGCATGAAGACTATTACCCATGCTACACCTTGCTTCAAGACAAAATTTCATTTATTTGTAATTAGAAATAAATATTTCACAATATATAATAACATTGTTTTGTGATTAATCACTATGCTTTAATAATTTTCAATTTGTAACAATGAAAATACATCCTGCCTATCAGATATGTACATGGCTATTCATAACAATAGCAAAATGACTGTTATGAAGTAGAAACGAAAATAATGTTATGGTTGAGGGGTCACCGCAACATGAACCGTATTAAAGGGTCGCAGCATTAGGAAGGTTGAGAACCACTGGTCTAGTGTCTTAAATGTTTGGGCGATTATAGAAACACTTCTGACTGAGATTAGGTGATGTATAGACTCTTGTGTGCCTCGTTACTTTCTTTAGAAATAATGTATAGTTTTGAGATTTGCACAAATACATTAGTTTAATAACAGTTGGATTTTAAATGGTAAAATTTTAATGTACAAATGTAATTTCTACTAAAAAAGCTCATTTGACATATTAACCAATTAGAAGTAAAATGTGGTTACTGAAATTATATTTTCTGATAGAGACATCTTAAACTTTTGAAATTCCATGTGAACTTTAACAATGTCGCTTAGGAACAACTATCCTTACTATTCCCCTCATTCAGCCCGTCCTTCTTCCCCTTGCTTTCTTTCCTTTTTTTCCTTTTTTTTGGAAGAAGAGAAAGATAACTTGTTTCCCAATAGTTTTCCCAATTGTTTTATTGAGATAGAATTCATGTATCATATATTCCATAGTTCAGTCAGTCGTATTAAAAAGATTTGTTTATACATCACCACAATCAGTTCCAGAACATTCTCCCTCCTTCTTGATTCATAATTTGCACCCCATTTCTCTCCAATATTCCGCCCAGCCTCCATAGCCCCATGCACCGTTTCACCAGTTTTTGTCTCTATATATGTGCCCATCTTGTGCTTTACATATTTTGAAGGACATACGGAAAATCAAAATAACAAAAACAACAAATATACGTTTGGAAAGAACAACAGTATTAAAATAAACCAGAGGAAAACCGTCTGTCAAGAAGAAAGCAGGAAGTACTGAAAACTAGAACAAATCCAAAATGGGTCATAAAAGAGATCCAGTGAGTAGATGACACATTTTAACCCAATTACATCTGCCATACTCTGTAATAGCATGATGATTCCTGGCCCCCAGCTGGTCAGAAGGGATCCACCGAGGCTTAATCTCTGCAGGAACCTTGCAGATGGATTTTGGGTTTAACGGTCAACCATGACCGTCTGTAAATTGGGTGTTCACAATTTGAGTTCTGATAGCTTTCCCCCCTTTGAATTTGGATTTTTTTTATTTGGATTTTATTATGTATCACTTTTGGATCACACAGGCTAGTGTGCTTCCATGTGGGCTTAGGTGACGCCGTACTTCGATGGCTGCTTGTTGGGAAAGAAGCCTTCAAGACACTAGATGCTCTGATTTCTGATAACCAGGCACCATCTAATTTCTTCACCACATTGCATGCCATTGGATCATCGTTATGTGAAAATTGCCCTTTTTTTGTTTTTAAGTAATTCTGTAAACACACATTACCTCAATTTGTTTTACTCTGGGTATGTTGCTATGGTGCGGACACTATTTCAAATACTAGAGGGTTACCCATGATATACAGGTTTCGGTAGAGGATCCAGAGTAAGAACAGAATAAGACCTTGGGATCAGATCCTGGGGGTACAGTGTTGGGGGGAGGGAGGCGGGTAAAGGGAGATGATAGCAAGGAGTCCAGGAAGAAAAATAATGTTTGGAAACTGATTGTGGTTCCAATTGTACAATTCTGCTTGATGTGATTGAACTATGGGATGATATATCTATATATGTTTTAACTCCCAATTAAGAATAAATTTTTTTCAACCAAATTTGCTACATTTTAATAAAGAAAATTATATAGTGAATTTTTAAAAAAGAGATCCTTTGTTATAGGGGTGATTGGAATGGAAAAGTTGGAAGTAAAGATGGTCCAGTAGTTGAGAACCTAAAGGACAGTGTAGAACTGCCTTTATGAGTGTCCGAGGCATAACTCTTTACAGGAAGTAGAAAGCGCTGTCTTGCTCGTGCAGAGCATGAGCAGGTGCTGTGGGTCAAAACTGGCTTGATGGCACCTACCAATAGCATGAGACAATTGAAAATATCATAGTTTGGATCAGGTGCACCTTGGTCCTCAAAGTAACATCCTTGCTTTTCAACCCTTTGAAGAGGTCGTGGGCAGCAGATTTACCCAGTGCAATGTGTTGTTTGGTTTCTTGACTGCTGCTTCCATGGGCATTGATTGTGGAACCAAGCAAGATAAAATCCTTGATAACTTTTGTCTAATCCATTTATCATGATGTCTTATCTGTTGGTCCTGTTGTGAAGAATCTGATCTTTTTTACATTAATTGTAATCCATACTAAAGGCTACAATCCATCTCCATCAGCAAGGGCTTCAAGTGCTCCTACTTTCAGTGATCAATGTTGAATCATCTGCATGTCGCAGGTTGTTAATAAGCCTGCCCCAGTCCTGATGCGGCAGTCTTCCTATAATCCAGTCTCTGTTCAGTATACAGATGGAATAAGTAGGTAAGAAGATACAGCCATGACACAAACCTTTCCTGATTTTATTCAAACTATGAAATATTCCCATGTTCCATTTGCACAACTGCCTCTTGACCCAAATTTCAAGTTTCACGTGAGCATAATGTAGTGTTCTGGGATTCCCATTGTCCGCAAGGCTGTTTGTAGTTTGTTATGATCTACACAGTGAATGCCTTTGCATTGTTCTTCCTTCTCCATAAATAGATAATATCGTATTTGAAACAGCATGTACTTCGAGATATAGCTTGAAATGTTAGTTTGGATAATGAGCACACCATTCCTCTTGGATGGGTCATTCTTGGCAGAGTGAACAATATATGACTGTGTGATATTTTTGATGACTTAAAATTTTGCTAAATTCGCACTTCCTACATTCCACATTCCGAGTATCTGAATGTTTCTACCTATTTCATCTTACTTCAAGTCGAGTTCTATCAGTAAGTGAAGATCTGGAAAACTTCACTGCGTCCGTGGCATTCATTTTGATGCTGCTTTAAGAACGAAACTAAAAAAAAGACCTTCCCAGCCAAGTAGCTCCTTGTTTGGCACCATTTCTGACAATATTTCGCTGTTTATACTGTTTTGTTTCATAAGGTTTCCCGTTCTCATCTGAAAGTTCTGGATAATATGTCCATCACTAATTGAATAAGTGTTTGGATTAGGGGCATCTCTGTCTGTTTCCTGTTCCCATGGGAAATGCTTTCAATTTCTCCTATTGAGATGTTAGTTGGCTTTGTATAAAACTGAAGCTCACTGCCACCAAATTGGTCACCTTATAGGACAGGATGGAATTGTCTCTGTGGCTTTCAGAGACTGTCACTCGTTACTGAGTAAGAAGAGTCCTTATTTTCTTGTGGAGTGGCTGGCGGTTTTAAACTGATGCCGTCTTTAGCATCCTATTACCTACCCCCCACATCACCAGGGCTCCTCCTATATGCCCATAATTATGTTGAAGAATTTCCCTTCTAATCTTACTTTGTTGATTGTTTTGATAGGTGAGTTAGTTAATTGTGCCAGCCTGGCCGATAATCACATGTGGGGCTAATTGAAAGGTGGAGGGATAAATGGGTGGTGAGCCTCGCCTTT